ATGTTCCTTCACTAAACTCTGAGTAGCAGGATGGGAAAATGAGACTCTTTCTGGCAGGATTCTCACCAGACACCAAGCTGAATGCACTAGGTGACAAATAAGCACAATGTCTAAAATAAGATGCTAGATGCTTTTTCTGGAGTTAAAGTAATAGACAATGAAAACACTTAATTGCATGTAAATCAGCCTCCCTGACGGCCTTTAGGATAGGAACTCATTTCAATCATTCATCCTTTTCCAATATTATACTTTTGAGAATTAAGACTTATGGAATACAATTTCTTAAAGTATTTTTCTTGAAGCAATTACAGAAAATGAAAGCTGAAATAAGAGTACAAATTAATTTCCCCCTCTGTAAATAAATATCTATCTTGTTTTAAAACCAAACATATCTAAGTGCCCTTACAGTCTTCATCTCAAAACACATCATCACATCCTCATTGTCAACAATGAAAAGTTAACAGAAACAGAAGAGAAGAGAGGTTGAGAGCCAAACAAGACCAAGACCTGGAGAAAAAGGAAAGACAGAGAGAGAGAGGCAGGGAGACAAATCCTTTGGATCCAAGTAACTGAGAAAGGATTAACTTTGTTTGGTCTTGGGTCACGTGCCACATCTCTCCCTAAATCGATCATGGTGGCTCAGGAATTATAGGGCTGTGGTCATTTTCTCAGCTTGGGTTCAAATCTTAAATATGCCAAGCTTACTTTCAGGATTCTAGAAAAATCTGTCCCTGACTGTGCTGCATATACTTCTAGTTATAATATGCTTTGCACCTCAAATATTGTATCAGTGTATTTTACAAAGTGAGCTTGTGGCCGTCTGGCTATGGACGATACTCACCTAGCTGCTCGTGCAGCTGAGCAAGTCCGCGGACAGGACGTGCACCAGAGCACGTGCTCTGGGAGAGTCTTGGCTGTGGATCTTTGCGACTCTAGCCCATCTGCCTTCCTTTCCCTTCCTACCTTCTGACACACAGATGTGGTGATGAAACCACATCCCTGATGGTTAAAAACCTGTAACAGAAACTGGTGACTAACTAATCTTGAGCTCATCACAGAAAAGCAGAGAAAGGGACAGCTTTTTAAAAATTTTTTTTAAGCCCTCTTCTTGTAATACAACCAAAGTGACTGAAAACACTGGAACCAATATGGCTGATCAGACTCTGAGCAGAACAAACTTGGCTGTCCCATGGGTGACCTATGTATATCACAGCCTGCTTGTTGCACACCAACTCCCCATGAATTTGCGCATGTGTCCCATGAGGAAACACGGAACTCTGGTATCCCTGCTGAGACACCAATGAGCTCACCTTTTCCTCACTTCCAACAACTCTTTCTCAAAGCCTAAGGCCACCCTGATTCTGTGTCCCATCAATATCCTAAGCACCTCCCCTTCTGGGGGGCAGAGCTGAGACTTGTTCTCCTGCCTCCTTGCTTGCTTGCCTCTCAAATAAACCCTTTCTCTGCTACAAACCTCAGTGTCTCAGTGTGTTGGCTTACAGCTCCTCAGTCAAAGGAATCTGGTGCCATAATGGCAGACGTCAAGCTTTTACATGTTGGGTAAGTACAACACCTTAAAGCATACACAACAAGGCAGAAGAATCTCAATCTCTCTTCAACCACCAAATCTGGATGCACCCTAGTCAAAGACAAGGGAAAAATAGTATGACAAAATAATAGCAATTATGTCTGGGCTATGAAATCAAAGATTTTATACACACATGTACTGCTAATGAAGAAAAATCACTCAGTTAAAAAAATAGTTTTTTTTAAAAAGAAAGAGAAAGCAAATGAGCATATAAAATATTTCTGAAGTCAAAGAAAAATTACTATACCCCTTTCATCACAAAATCATCCCTGACAGGCTATTGTACTCTCTTGCCCCACTGTTACTTGTCCCACGTTCACCATGGGGTCAAGGACACTTAAGACACCTATGGAGGGGGGACAGATGTGGGTTTGTTCAGCCAGGTGTGAAGTGTGTCTTTCCTTGACTTCATCCAAGTTCCTGCCTGCG